TTCCCAGTGTAGTCATGTAGAACATTGTTCACAGCTGAAGATATTGAAATTCGCCTGTACACTCCACCGCTGTGCACCCAGAAACGTTTGTTCCTATTTTGGAACTAACATGGCCAAACCCTCACCCCGTTAACCTGTCAAGACCCACGGTTCAAATAGGTGCTTGACTGCAGCGTGACATTGAACTACCTAAATTCACTAACCACCCGTTCCCCGTTTATCCCCTTTAGTGACTACACTGTAAAGTTCATATGTGATGATAAATAGCTGAAAACGAGCTTGTTCGCTGTACGGTATTTTTCATATTTTATTGTATCCATCACAAATGCATTCGCTGTCCTGACACCGTAAGCTTTGCCGGTTTACAGTGCACCCAACCCGTCATTCAGAATAGAAGCACGTGAATAAACTTTGTCTTAGAAAATTCACCTCAAAACAGGTACACATGCAGTGGATATCGTTTGGTTTGGCAGACCCTATCTAAGTCACTTGGGCCAGATCGACGCACTCGTCCCGTTAGCTGAAGTAGTCTAACAGTCTGCGTGTCACCATTAATGTGTTGCATTTATGCGCAATGTTTCAGACGTCCATATCCAGTTAAAATCGAAGCTGGAAGTTTACCAACCAGCTAACTGAAAACGTCTACGAATCTCTTTAGAAACTGAGTCGTTCCCACTGTATAACAATGACATTTACAAGCAGTTCATATCATAACAAGCGGAGTTACATTTTGTTTAAGATGGAAGGAGTGCTAGATAACTGTGGACCAATAACCTAACCACCTGAAGTTTGTGAATCTTCAACAAGACCAAGTTGTTCTCGTTTGTTCCTCACAGCATCCAGGATATCCGTTTCACCAATGCCGCCCAGTTTCTGACGCTGCGAATAGACATCAAGAGAGATACAATCACTGCTGTCAACAAGCAGAGCCAGACTATTTGTATCAAGGTTGTCGACTGCTCCCGAGTGAATTCGGTTTCAGATAAAAAAATGAATGTTCGCTTCCGTTTTGGCAAACTGCTGTAAAGTGTCATTTGTGATTTTTTTGTAAGTTAGCATCTGGAACTTCTGAAATTAATGATTTCGGACAAATGAGGTTGTTGTACAAAGCAATCACTAGTCGTTTGAAATGTTGACGTCCTAGAAGGATTTCGAGATTGATGATGGATGGACGGATAAAAATATACCAAGCTTTTCCGTGTTTCTAAATTCACGAAATCACAAAACCTTCTTAGCTATCTCCAAATTTTAATGTCTGATCTACCATTATAGTTAAACGTAGCAGAAACGCGGCTCCTAACTTCAAAAATAGGGATACATTAAGTTGAAGTCAAAAAGAAGTTATTAACTTTTATGTTATGCTCGAGTAACATGGTCAACCTCCGATTGGCGAAATGGCTACTTCCGTGTAGTTCTCGTGTGTGTTTTATGCACCGTTATTATGTTTATCCTATTCCATTTGTTGGTGAGTCTTTTCAACGAATAACAACACCCAGCTAGGGTTATCTGCACTTATACCATTCTCCAGTATAAGACATACTTCCCAAAAACGATCATTATCCGGAGAAGCGGCGGACGTCCTATAAATAAACCTGATATTAAATCTCACAACCAAACCTTCTAAATGTGCAATTCAATTAAAACCACCCGACAAATAACGCCTTATATCGTTGCCGTTATTGTATGTCTAGAGAACCAGCTGACCGATGGTGTTTATGGTTCACTTCCTCGGTCTGTTAATGCACTGATACCGAAAACCTTAAAATCTGAAAGCATAAAAGACAGAAGTGTACCGTTCAGTACAAATCGCATCCGGATGGGCGCCTTGTAGTGGCCTGAATGGTCTAGTCAGTCAGTGGTTTCTAAAAACTTAAAGAACCTAGTAGTTATTCGACTAAACGATGCACGCAAGTCCGAATCATTGCTAATTAAGTCGGACACAGCATTGTCATAACAGACAGCGAATGATTCAGAATATTTCGACAAAGGAACACCATTATCTAGTTCTCCTCAGCTAAACGAGAAGTT